TATATCTATATAGATATATATATAATACATTTTTAGTCTTTATACACAGAAAAGTGAATGTACAAGATATCTGCCGGTTAAGATATCTTTTACTGCTTCTTTACATTGTTGCTGAGGTTTCATTGTATATTTCAAAGAAGCCTTATAGCTGCGTTTCGCTAACATACTTAAATTCTGGAGATTGTTTTTTTAGTGTGAAAGCTACAAGCTGCCACTTTCTAATACTGATAGCTGGTCGCTGAAGCTTTCCACTCAGCAGGATCTTCTGATCTATCACCTCCATGTGCTTGACTGTCATTGTTGGTGTAATAGGAATTAGATTTATAAGGATGAGAATCAGCATTGCTGCAAACACTTGGATGTGAGTGACATCTGCGATGCCTCGGCAAGTAAAATGTGTGCCGAGCTACATTAATATCTATCTTCTTATATGTTGCCGCTTCGTTTTACCTATGCCCATGGTTATAACATTGTTAAAGTGAAACTATACCCTCATCTGCTTTACATCCAAGGAAGGTGTCATCTTAGCCTCTATTTGGTGCTGCACATGTGATCAACGATGTCACCAGCCATTTGAGGTCTTGAAAGTTTGGTTGAATTCTGAACTAAGCACACTTGAAGCCTTAAAGGAGAACTATGAGGTGAGTGATTTTCACTGCAGGGATTCCCCCCCTCCCCTGTCCGATCCTCCAGCGCTGACTGGTGGAACGAACTGGGGAGGGGGCGGGTACCGCTGGCTCTGCCTCTAAAAAGGCAGAGCCAGCTGTCAATCACGCAACTGGGTGGATCTCGACAGTAATGTCGGGATCCGTCCTGGCTGCGGCGGTCTCGGTATACTGCGGTATGCTGAGTTTTGGGTCACGGCAGGACGTTAGTTTATGTACTCCCGTGACCCGGAGGAGAACTATGGGGAAAACAATTACCCAATAGTTCTCTAACAGTTGGCATGCCTTAACCTTTTCGCTGCTACAGATGTATGCCATGCGTTGCTGGCAGCGGGTCCCTTTAAACAGATTCTGGGCAGTTATCAGTTTACTTATGTAAAGCCAACTGTCGACTTTACATTGGAAGCAATTCTGGAAGCTGACCTGCAGCCAGATCGCTTCCAGGGGCCGGTGTTGTGCGTCCTTGGTTATCCATTTGCCGATCTCCTCCCTGCTGAATGGGGACGGAAGCAACGCTGATTGCATCACTTCCAGTCCCTCAGCTGCCATTTCCCGGCTGGAGAAGCCAGGAAAGAAGCTATAGGAGTGCAATCTGCGCTCCAGTAGCTTCTTTTCGAGTGGAGTGGTCCAGTTCTGGTCACCAGTACTAAGAAAAGATGTCCTTGAGTTGGAAAAAGTCCAGCGGAGGGCAACCAAACTAATTAGGGGTATGGAGGACCAGAGCTACGAGACAAGGCTACTAAATTTAAACATGTTCACATTGGAGGTGAGGAGATTAAGGGGGGATATGATCTCCATGTACAAAATCACTGTGCCTGAGAAAGGAAGCACTCTAAAACAGGATGTCAACTGAAAAACATTTTGACTTTAATACCACTTTAACCTGATAATACTCAAATAGATTTCTTTCATTCAGCCTGTGGGCTGAATGCAAGTAATCCAACAGATTCCCCCATGCATGCAAACCGCACAGATGGACGCATCTCCTGCTTTGACTCCTGTATTCTTAAATTCGGCAGCTGCTGCTGTCACAATACTCTAAACAGTGACCGCAATAATTTCCTGCCTGGCTCCTTCCACAACAGTTAATTGAGCAATGGACTTCTGTTGGGCAGCTGGGCCACCCACTGTTACAATTTAGGCAGATTCCTGTGCACCTGACAAAATTTTAAGTCTACGGGCAACTTTAGGCTCAGATGATGTCATCAGTCTGCTGCAAGCATTTCCCATGCTCCTTTCTCCTAGTGCTCATTCAAACTGTTAGATTTTACGCTTGCAGCAAGTCACAAGGTGAGAGGCAGCAGCAGGGGATTCAAATATGTCAAACATTTGTAAACACAGTGCTATTAATTACGTGATTGTGGCATCTCAGGGCCAACATCTCAGTCCAGAAAGTGAATGGTGACAGAAGGAGACACAAGGCAAATTAAGGCATTGTCAAGTGTGTACTATGATAATTATGGTAGTAATGTCCTGTAATTGTTGCATGCACTTAACATGAAAAACTGTTTGACAAATGGTCCACTTTAAGTGGTCAGTGGTATGTTTTATTAATGTGCAACATAACGGGAACAGGCTGCAATCTTACAGTAAACCATTCTCTCATTCTCACTTAACTTTTTTTTTTATACTGTCTTGCTTTTTGAAAAGTTGATAAATCTCCCCCGTTAAGCACCATTACTAGGTCTGCTGTGATCCAAGAGCAAGGCAGCCAATGCATGTAAAGTAAATAAAAATGCTGATGCCATTTTATTTGTCATGAGTTTCCTGACTATCTTTTATAATGCCCATGCCTACCTAGAAGTATTCACCAGGAATTATTTTGCTTTGTTACCTTCCTGTGGTTTTTTTTTTAGTTCTACCACGTAATTTGATTTTTTTGTGGTTAGTAAATGTGTTAGTTCTTGAATGGGTTATTTTAGGCTGAATGGTTTCAGCCTCAGAATTCCTGGTAATGCTTGCATGTATTACTGCCAATTTAAGCAATATCTTTACTTGACACCCAATTTTCGGTTAAGTGGGCCATCTCGTAGAACATATTATGAGGCAGAGTATGTGAGAAGCAGGGAAGGCAGGCTAGAATCTGACTCGGGAGTAAATACAAAAAAATGTGTGTTAGCTGATCAAGTACTGGCAGAAAGAGAGAGCGGCCCCATTCACACCTGCGTGTTTCCAAAGTATTTTAGCAGAAACGTGGCAAACCGCGCTTGCACTGCCATTCACTTCTAATGGCACCCCAAATGCAGGCAACAAGATGCGCATTTTTGTTTTGTGTTTGCGTGCGGGGATCCTTGTGTGTCCTGTACCTTTTTAAGTAGGTTGGGCTGCCTCCTGACGAACCTGCACCCAATTCATACTTTGCTCCACGATAGAGCCTCTCAGAGATTAGAGTTACGACCTTACTACACAGAGGGGTCTTGACAAGGCAGTGTGGCTTCCACATATTCTGCAGAAGCCGTGCAAATAAGACATCGATTTTTAACCTTAGTAGTTAGAGTTTTTTGCATGCTGGCTGGTGAGTGTGCTGGACATTTTTTGCTGTTGTACTGTTTAAAGCCCTTCTATGTGCACCTTGCTTTAAAGCTGGTTATGAAATGATGAGTGTGTTTGCCATTTGTTTTGCTTGTGTAAAAATACACAAACGTGGAAGGAAAAAAACATGGAATGCATCATGTGCAAAATGCTACTTGAGCTTTTTTGTCGCGTGTATATAAACCCATAAAAATGGGGATGCGCGGCACACAAAAACGCGTTCCCACCACTCGCAGGTGTGAAGCCAGCTGAAGGGGTTAAAAGGTGAATGGGAATGGCTGTTGGTAGAAAGTGAATTGATAAATGACACAGGAAGTGAAAGAGCTGCTGCACAGAGATGATCATGCACCAGGGATAGAAAGGGGACAGACTGGTATCCCAACATGGACCAGGGAAAAAAGCGAGGAGACAGACTAGCATCTAATTATGGCCCAGGGAAAGCGAAGAGACAGACTGGCATCTAATTATGGCCCAGGAAAGTGAGGAGATTGGCATCTAAACATGCACCAGGGATAGAAAGGAGGCAGACTGGCATCTTATTATGGCCCAGGGAAAGCGTGGAGACAGACTGGCATCTGAACATGCACCAGGGATAGAAAGGAGACAGACTGGGATCTGAACATGGACCAGGGAAAGCGAGGAGACAGAATGGCATCTGATCATGGTCCTGGAGTAGAGAAGGCTGAGTTTAATCTGATGATGGAATGTTGGGAGAACATGTAGATTTGGGGGGCTAAGCATGTTTCAGGGACATTTAGGAAGAATATTGTGCCTAGGAGGAAAGGAGATACAGAGCTAGAGTTTTTCGGTACAGGAAGAGAGTAGGCAGGACAAGAACTCTGTGTAATAGAGGGAGGTGGAAATATGGGAGTTCATTGTGGACTGGAATGAAAATTCATGTATGAATTGTCATTTTTCCCTCCTAGAGAACAGCTGTTCATAGAGCCATTGCTGCAAATGGAGCATGTCAGCTCACCTTGTGATAGCAATAAAGATCAAATGAAAAAAATATATACTGAATATTAAAAAAACAAAAGAAACTTATTACAAAATGTAGGTAGAGAGGATCAGAACAGGGGGAAGAATCATTAAATGGGTAAGTTTATTGGTAGCCTTTACTTGCACTTTAGTGGGTCTATTTATAAATGCTTTCACACAAGATTCGTTTGCTTTTTCACCCAAGAATTCCACCCTGTGGAATCCAGTTAAAAAATGTGAGTACATTTATAAATAGACCCCCTAAGTTTTCTTAACTAGAACAAGGTGTGTTTTGTTAAAATGGCTTTGAATCTTGGATGCAGATGTGTATTATAATAACGTTAACTTGCTATATACTGGATCTCAGGTATTGTAGCCCCTGTTGTGCCTAGTCTTGCTTTGAATAAAAATGACTTGTTTGTGCAGGTCTCTCCAGCAAGCATAGTGCTGCTCACTTTTGGTTTGGCTGCAGTTGGCACTGAAATAGTAGCACTCGGAAGAAAATCTGTCCTATTTGGCTTGCCTGACCTCTTTTGATATTGTTATAAACAGATTGTAAGATATATTTCAGTGTTTAAGCTATGGTAACAAAAATACATTGCTGATTTAATTAAATGGCATTCTGGTATTTGTTGAAAGGCCAATACTGCTCACACGTTTCAGTTAATTATTTCACAAACTGAAAAAATAATTGTGTATTTTTTTGCCATGTTTAAATAATGGCATCCATACAGAAAACATAGAGATTAGGTTTTTGGTTTTTTTTTTTGTAATGCCTAACTTGCATTTCCTTTCAGTAATTGCATCTTTTTTTGTGTTTTACAGATTTAAAGAGAGAGGCCAGCATATGCCACATGCTGAAGCATCCACACATTGTTGAGCTCTTGGAGACTTACAGCTCTGATGGAATGCTCTATATGGTCTTTGAATTGTAAGTCCTTGTACTCATTTTGCCTCATTTAAATATTGTTTCTTGGTGTATGATCGCTTCTGCAATGGAAGCAGACTCCTGCTCTACTTAAGGTTTATGTTCTGAGCAATAATCGTGCCTATAAAATCTAATGTTTCATTATCCCTGCTGCTCCAAATAGGGCTGCAAGAGTTATGTTATCAAATGTGTAAATGTATCTCTGCCATAAAAATTTTAAAGCTTAATCACCCGGTTTCCTAACAGTTCATTAGAGCTGAATTACGTAACTGGGAAATATTCAGCATATATTCACAGAAAGCATATATTTGCAGTTGCCTTTAATCTTGCGCCATGACCAAAAAATGAAAGTCTTACAATTCACACCACCCCAGAGACCACTTTCTTTACCATTTGATTCTTTAACATGCACCCAATGACAGCTTATATTTGTTAGCTTTCACTTGTAACGTATAGCCCAACTCCAGCGTTTGTGTGTGTCCATTAGTTAATTTAAGAGATCATCTTGTACACAACTTATATCCTGCAGTGTTCAGGTGGGTCATGTTAAGTCTTCCTCTTATACTTTGAGCCCACTAATGACAGCCTGCAAGGTGGTGTGCCCATGATGTCCTGGGCTCACAGTAAGAGGTTTGGATGATGCTGGATTTAACCTGGAATAGAGCTGGCACTAATTCACAAAGCAGTGAGCCTGCAGTGGTCAACATCAGAGTATTGCAGTGAAAGTGGCTTTTTTTTAATTTAAATCCTTCTGGGCAAATATTTAACAGGTACAAAAAAATAGTGAAGATTGGTTATACAGATAATTATTTCCCTGATGTAATTGTCATTCTGTCACGTTTTGACATGAAGGTATACAGCTAACTGTGGTGTGGGGCTGCAACAACTAATCGACTAAGTCGATTATAATTGATGATGGAAAACGTTTTCCCATCATTGATGGCATTCGATTAGTTGCCATGCCTGCTCGCTGCTTCTCCTCCCTGTCTCACCCAGCTCTCAAGTTCAAGGGGACGGTGGCTGCTGCCAGACCCACCCACACCATCCACGTTCGTCACAGTGAGACGGAGATTTGTTAGGCTGAATTGAGGAGGAGCGGGCGGAGGGAGGATGGCAGCCCCCTACATGCCCACACCACGATCATCACAGGGAAGAAAGTTGCTGTGCAATTGGAGTCTGCTCAGCAAGTAAGATGTCGTGGAACTACAGAGCTGTGTTAGTGGAGCGGGCCCGGGGGAGCTCGGCTCATCTCATCGGGTGAGATGTCGGGGGAACTAGGGGCTCACTGGCCAGGGCTCCGCTTGTGGTTACTGTATACTGGTTGTGCACGAGGAGGGGGCTGCTCTGACTCCTGAAGTAACTGTGCTGTGTGTGCTCAAGTACATGCACGTGGATTATAAATCCCAAGTGAACAAAAATGTATTTTTTTTAATTCAATACGTTTTATTAATATTTTCAAACAAAAGAACAGAATGATTGACATATCATAGTCAACAGTACATTCCAGTAAGTACAGAAGTATAAGCAACAAAATAATAAAAAGAACAATGTATAGAAAATAAGCAAGAACATTCAGTCTCATGATAAGCGCATCCAAGTATGACCTATGCGATACATGGCTATGAGGTCTACCATAGCAAGCTCATCTGATTCCATGGTTAGCTCATCTGCTATATGCTATGCTTAGTATCTTAACACTTCATTCAAAAGGAGACTGGTTATTTAGGAAAAAGTAGTGAGTAGGGAAATAACCACATTCAGAGAATAAAAGGATGAAGGCAAAGAGAGGCTCCTCCGCAACCAGGGATCCCCCCCAGCTAATCCGTAAATCGGCATCTCAAAGTTTCCGCCAGGAAGAGACATATCTCATGGGCTATCTTGCAGTGGATTTCAGAGACAAGTAGTCAGGGGTGGTAGTGAAATGGCCCAAACATGCTGGAAAATGTGTCCAGTGCATTTCTTTTTGTAAATAACAATTCCTCCATTTCACATGTATGATCTATTTGTCTGTCAGATCATTGGAAAGGTGTCTTTCCAATGCCTCCGAATAATTGCTCTAGCTGCATTAATCATATGTTTGTGTAAAGCTTCAGGAGGTGAGGACAAAGGACCATCTGGGTTGTACAGAAGGAACATGTCAGGTGAGTATTGCAGAGGTATCCCAGTAACCTAAGAGGTGATAGTATGAACTTTGGACCAGTATAGGACAAGCCCAAAAGACATGTAAGAGTGAGCCAACTGCTTTCTGACACCTCCAACATGTATTGGGTACATCCGGGTATATTGTGTGCAAAATCTGTGGCGTTCTATACCAGAATGTTAATCTTATAATTAGTGTCCATAATAGTTCCATAAGTAGTCGTACTCAGGAAACTAAGGCACACGTCACACCAACTTTCTTCGGTCATTCCCATTTAAGGCGCAAGTTCTATTCACTCCTTGTCTGTGAGTCATTCAATAAAGAATAAAGCTTAGAAACAAGCTGTCTTGAGGACTGCTTCCAGTACATAATTTTTCTAGTGTGGTAAAATTTCTGGAAAGGTCCACCTGTTTGGATCGGTTGGTCAGAAAATGTCAGATCTATAGGTAGATCCACCAAACCCCGTCGTCGAGTGTGTAAGGTGGCTCTAATCAAGGAGCTTTTGGTTTTGGAAGAAGAGGTTAGCAGTGAGTGGTCTGTCAATAGGCCAGTGTTGTTGAAATTCCGGAGTACTTCCTGGAGTAAAGTCCAGGTTGTGTAACAATGGTGTCAAGGGGCTCTCAAGTGTGGTAAGGACTTATCGTTTTCGCAGGGTCGAACTCCTGTAACGTTGCAGATGTCAATGGGTGAGTGGAGTTGTGGATGTCTGAGAGCCATCCAACTGAAAGAACAGTAAACCATCCCTGCGCCACACCTACCCATGCCTTAGATGTCTGGTGAATGTGCCATTGTGCCAGCATATTGCAGGTTGACTTTGTTTCTTGCACGGTGTATAATTTCCTCCTTGAGGGGAAAACTTTGCAGACGCAATATATCACGAGGTACCTCGTCTTGTAGGTTGCAGGGCCAAAGTGCCTCATGAGCCCGTACGAAGTGTATAGGAGATTCCGGCGGACTCTCCAAAAGATCATTAAAGAGAGATGTCAGTGCGGCTGGGATGGCGTTGGGCATGATCATCGGCCTCGGTTTTCCAGATCCTCAATGTGGCGACGGAGGTCAATAAGCCCTCGTTCACACCTGAACGTTTTGTAGCGCTTTCTACGCTCGACGAACGCTCTAAAAAACGCTCAAAAATATAAATCCCATTGTATTCAATGGTCTCGTTCCCACCTTGGCGTATTTCCGCCCGTCCCTAACGCGCTACAAAACGGCCCACGCCTGAAAAGGTACATGTACTACTTTGGGCCGTTTTGTTGCGCGTTTCCATTGGGATACAGCCAAGTAGCCTTCGGAAACGCGCGGCGGTCGCGCGACTTTTTTACAGCGAATCGCGGTAAAAAAAAACGCACGACAGACGCGCATATGCAATACGCCAAGGTGTGAACGAGACCTTAAGGAACGAGTAGTAGAACTTTTATGTATGTGGAGAGATTTGAGAGCGATATCTCTCTCAATTCCCACGTGTAGTCTGCTGCCTATGTCTTGGATATCCTTCTTGAGTTCCGACACCGCAGAACTCTTAGCACTTTTAATGTCTCCTGCTAGAGAGGTATGATCCGACCTGGTAGGTAACAGCTTGATATAGGTAGACACCGAGCTGGCATCCAGAGTCGTAGCTTGGGTATCTGCACGAGTGCACGTGTCTTGTGGAGTGGCTGGTGTCTGCGCCATATTGGAAGAATGGGCCTCTGAGGTTTTTTGCCTTTGTGAGCGGAAGAGCTTGAAGTTACTTGCCGAGTTGCGTTCTCGATGGTCCAAGAGAATGGGACCATCCTCCTTGTTTGCCTATTTTTCCCATTGTAAGTCAGGGTAGATAGATGTAGCTTTGTTCAGGGACCCGTGAGATGGAGCTCCGGAGTTAAGCGTCCATCTTGGTCAGCGGCAAGTCACGCCCCCCCAACAAAAATGTCTTTACTAATGTGAATCCAGAAAGTATTCCTCTATAGCTGATGGTACATTGCGCTGTATAATGTATTGATAGGATTTGTATTCTGAATCTGCCTTGCGCTGTATAATGTATTGCTGGGGTTTGTAGTCCTCTATAGCTGGTGCCATTCTGCATTGATTGCTGTATAATTTTACACTTTCCATTCTCTGAATTGGTGCTGACACTGTCCTTCCTTCTGGAGGAAGGCTACTTTTGTTTCCCATGGTCCCTGTGTGTGTTGCGAAGTAGCCACTGCTCCAAGCTTCCTCCTGTGATGGACAAAAATCCCAATACAAACTAGTAGTCCATCACTGGAGTGTTTTTTATAAATTACATTATATTTTTTTTAAATCCGATTTATTCGAACTTAATCGGCTAACTAATCAATTATGAAAATAATTGTTAGCTGCGGCCCTGGTGACGTGTGACACGCTTGCGGTACCATTACTTCTTAAGGCACCCCGATTGCAGGCGGTAAAACGCGCCATCCACGCATAAACACATGGTTCAAAAAACACATGAAACTCATAGCTCAAAATGCTGCATAAGCGTATTTGCCATGTGTCTTGTGTGGGGCAGATAGAAAGTCCCTCCGCACTCCCCACAACGTTCCCGGCCTATGCAACAGTGGTGCTCGCAGTGATGACAACGGATGGCGCCTTGCAGACACAAGGCAGAAGACAGGAATCACCAGCACTCAGTAATATTTCAATATGTCCATTTATTTGGACAAATCATCACAATGAAAAAAAGCCAACGTTTCGGGGCCACACCGGGTCCCTTCATCAGGGCGAAAAGATGTGATGTCACATCTTTTCGCCCTGATGAAGGGACCCGGTGTGGCCCCGAAACGTTGGCTTTTTTTCATTGTGAAGATTTGTCCAAATAAATGGACATATTAAAATACAAGGCATTCTGTGATTGGAGGAGAGGCGG